ACTCTGTCTTTAAAAAAAAAAAAAGGCCATGAACGATGGATGTGCCATCAGGGCTGCTATTTCTCCTATGTGCCTAGCTAAGGTGATGGCAATTAGAAATGCTGTCTTCATGGACAGGTGTAAGAGAGAACAAGTTGCCCTGGACTTGGAGGGAGGTTGAGTCAAAGCCCTGAGAACAAGGTTAAAGTCCCAGGCTGGAGCGGGTGGTATGACAAGCGGGAAGAGATTCCCATTGCCCTTAAAGAATCTACGCATTAGTGGGTGAGCAAACACCAAGTGGGAAGCCGATTTCGCCACGAGATGAACCTTAAGGGAGCTGAGTGAGAGTTTAAAATGTAGTGCAAAATCAGAGGGAGGAAAGATGAGGTTGGGCCTGTGTGTTTGAAATGACACAAACTTGGAGTCGTTTCCATTCTGTAGATAAGTATGTCGAGTGGTCAACTTTTGGTTGTGTTGCAACACATCTTTCAGCTTGTCAGAGCATTCTGCCTCAGCCTTGGAACTAAGAAGGAGCCAAGCCTGGAGGCGGAGGACCCGTGGGTTGGGATGGAGGGTCAGCCCATTGTTTTGAGAGATCGGGTGAGGGATGAGCTGAAAAGAAACAGGAGGGCATATCGCCATCTGTGTCAGGTAAGGGAGTCTGTGTCAGGTAAGGGAGCCAGACTTGTCATGGTCAAGAGGGGCAATCAGAATAACTCTCGCTTTGTCTCGTTGAATTTTCAACAGAATCTTGGATAGAGTAGGAAACTGGGAAAAGACATACAAGTGGGCCCTGTCCCATGGGAAGATGAGGGCAACTGCCAGTGAATGCTTCCCCAGGCCGGTCCTGGAGCAGTAACAAGGACCTTTCTTTTTCCGTTAAGTAATGAGGAGATCCATAGGCAGGGTTCCCCAAAGGGCGGATATATCTTGGAGCACCTCTGAATTCAGTACACACTCACTGTTGTGAGAAAATTGCAACTGAGACTGTTGGCTGTGACGTTCTGTATCCCTGGTAGATAGACAGCTGAGAGGAGCACATTGTGATGTGTGCATCAGTTCCAAAGTTTGAGTGCTGTCTTGTAGAGGGAGGGAGATCTGGCAGCTCCTTGGCAGTTTACACAAAACATACAGGTCACATTAAGTCCGTCATTACCTTTGTGTGTTGCTTTTGATGAAAGGCAGAAAGTGTGCACAGGGACTCCTGACAGCCCTTAGCCCCAAAAGAGTGATATGGAAGGTCATTTCTGTGGAAGGCCATTTGTCTTGAACCTTGTGGTTGTGTAGGTAATCTCCCCAGCGTATTAGGGAGACGTGTGTCCCAGGGTGGTGAATGTGGATAGCGAATGTGGAGAGCTCTCGCATGTACTGCATCAAGGTTGGTCCTGATAAAGTCTAGTCACTGTACCGGGGTTAGTATGCCACTACAACGAAGAGAACCTTGGAGAATACCCTGTGTGGAGCAGTCTGTGCTGAAATTGATCCTGCCCCAAAGGTAAGCAGTAGGAAATCTCCTGTACGATGCTTGTATTGAGTTATGGAAGTAGGCACCCCATAAGTTCAGGGCTAGAAATCAATCCCCTTGCTCTAGAGCTGGTCCTAACTGCTGTGAAGTAGGGCAAGGTGACTTCTGAGTGGCGTGACAGGTGTATAGATGGCAGCTGATGCTGTAAGGTATCATTGTTCAGGCCCTCGACCAGCTCATCAAAAGTGCTTATAAGAGGCAGTTTGAGAGGTCACGGACTGGGGTGCAGACTGTTCCCACTTTTGAGCCCTGGGCCTCTTACACTGTGGCTCACAGCAGCACTGAGATGGTGGGTATTGAGAAGATTGTGATCTGTGCTGTGGTTGAGAGGTTCATCTTCTCTTCTGTCCCACAGTGTAGATTCCTAAGGAGTGTAATGTGGCCCGAGAATCCTTTAGGATCTGGAGAGAAAATCTGTCTTCTCCGCAAAGAGTTTGGCCCTTCAAACTGGAAGTCTGTAGCTCTTTGGACAATCTAGAGGGGTGTAGCCAAAAACAAAACAAAACAACAAAACAACAAAACAAACAGCCCAGTGCCAAGAGCGATTCCCGCCTCACTACCACTGTCATGGAGACTGGGTGGGCAGCTGTAACAGCTACATCCAGTGCTGTCTCTAGGACCAGTCTGGCTATTAACTGACCATCTCCTCTAAGAATGGTCGGAATCTGTTCTTTTTGTGTTTCCAGTAATGTTCCAGAAACACACTGGGTTTCCCATAATTAATAAAATTGTATTTGGCCATGACAGTTTGGTAATTTATGACTCTAAACAGTAATGCTGTCAATGAATACGCCATCTTGCCAAGCCTGATTGTATGGAGTTGACTTGGCATCATGTTGCTTACTTTATGCATTAACCACATCCACTATGATGGAGTTGGGTTGCGGATGTTGAAAACAAAGTCTGCCTCTTTGGGTAGAGACGTAGGGGTTTTGGTGTGTTTTTGTTTGTTTGTTTTGGTTCGTTTGTTTGTTTAAACTCTGTTGCTGGATGGTGCGATGGGGGCTGGTGTCTGCCAGATGACTTTGGGAGGATCTAGAATCGCCTCATTAATTGGGAGGTCAGTTCTAGATGAGAAGGTGGTGTGCAGAATTCCCACCAACTTGTGACGTGTATCTGCCACCTCCTGTAGGGGAATCTGCAGCTCGTCTGCCACCCTCTTGGTAAGATCCAGAAAGTTCTTAAAATCTTCCCCGTGTGATGAGGGGTGGGCAGCACAGCCTCGTCTGGGAGCGATGAGGAGAAGTGTGCAGGAGGGGGAGCTTCCTCTTTGGGTCCTTTTTCCCTGTTCTGAAAAAGCTTCCTCCTGCCCTGACTCGGGTGCTCTGGACAGCCAGGCTGCAGCAAACCAGCTGGTGGACTCTCCCTGAGAGACACCAGGGATGGTTGCGATGTGTGTGTACATTGCCCAAGAGGAACAATATGGCCTTGGGGTGGAGAGGGAGGAAGGCAGGCATGGGCGGTGGGCTTACCTCAGTGGGCCCGTACCACCATTGTAGGTTGGCTTGATGGAATTGGGGAGGACCCTTGTAGTGTGACGGTGGGCCACGATGAGGGGCCAGGGAATGATCTCCTCCTGGCCACTGTCAGATTCGTCAGTGAGTAAGGGTGCCGCTGACTGGGGTATTGGCAGTATACAGCCCAGTGCCAAGAGCGATTCTCGCTACCGGGGTCCTGGTACCGAGTAATGGGGATTGTGGTTCTTCCCCAGTCATCAGGTCTCCAGGGTACCAGAGCTCATGCAGTACCATGGCTTCATTTGGTACCACAGAGGAGTGTCCGTGGCACGTTGTCAGTACCGATAGTTGGGCAGAGCACTCCCTAAATGAGAGTTGTGTTGTGCCCAGCACAGAAAGTTTCTTGGTGCCACTATTTTAGAGACGGGACGGTAACTGTCTCTCTCTGGGTACTGAGACCACAGGTCTCCAGAGTCCCAGAGCGCGTGTGTCCCCGCGGTGGGCTCGCGGGGTCCCACAGGGGAGTGTCTGTGACGCGCGGGAAGGTGCAGAACATGTCCTCCATGGGAGTTTTGTTGCACCTGGTACCAAAGGCTTTCTCTGTGCTGCTCTTTTAGAGATGGTACGGTCATTGTCCCCTCTCCTTAGGGGGCTGCGGACGCCCCTGGCCTCTCCCTGGGGAGGGTGCCGCAGAGCAGAGCTCACAGCAGGGGGTCCCGTGTCGGTGCTGGGGCTGCAGGTGTCTCCCACCGAGGGGGCCGCTCTGGGGAGCCCCACTGCCTGGCCAGCTGCTCAGAGCCCTTTTACCAGCCTTTCCCGGGGGAGGCTGCTGTTCTCCTCTCCTCTCCACGGCTGGACCCCTTCGGGGATGACCTGGGGTCAGCACCCACGGGAGTCCCCTGTGGACTGAAGTGTTTTCTCCATAGGGAGGAGTTTTAAGGGCTGCCGTGTTAGCTGTGGCAGGTGAAGCCCAAACACTACTTATGCAGAAGAAAGTGAACCTTCTACAGAACCTGCCCCAGCTGGGGAAGTGACGACCGGGCCCCCCCCCCCCCGGGGGGCCCCCCCCCACCCCCCCCCCGGGGGGCCCCCCCCCCCCCCCCCCCCCCCCCCCCCCCCCCCCCCCCCACCACAGGGCCCCACGAACGGCCCCCCCCCCCCAAGAACTGCCCCCGGAACCGGCAACCTCCCCGTCCAGGATTTACCCAGCTCTGCATGGGGAGCAGCGCTGAGATCTCAGCCATGTGCAGGGGGGATTCACACCCCTGACAGAGCCAGTTCAGTGACAGAGTGAAGGGATCAGCTCAGCTCAGCCAGGCCCCCAGACCCAGAGTCCAATTCTCAGTGATTCCATCCTTGTGCTTGGGGTAAAGACAAGGGGGTTAGAGGGGGGTGGTTTTAAGCCACCTTTGTCCTTCCTTTAGTCTCCCTGGCCCCTAGTTACAGGGGCCTCAGGGCTGCAAAGCAGAGATCAGCCATAGTGTGATGCCTCCTGTCTATGCCCCCAACAGAGACGTCCCTTGGGGAGGGCGAATCCGGGCAACCGCTTTGGGGAACCTGTGCGATTGGCTGGCGCGGTCGGTCCCAGAAGAGACGAATCTGTCACTTCCGCCCTGGACCCCCTAGAGCCGGCCCTGGCCCCCAGCATGCCCCAAACCCACTCCTACAATAAGAGCTGGGGGCAGAGTGCTGAAGAGCCCCTCTGTCAACTTCACATGGACGGGACGGGGCGGGACAGGGACGGGGGCGGGCGCTCCCTTGCACCGGAGCTATTTTCTGGGGACAGTTGCCATACAAATTGAGGCCCCTTTGCTCTGATAGAGCAGCATAAAAGGGCCAGACGATCAGGCCCATGGAATCTTTCCCCACCTGCACCCACCTCTCCCCACAGATGTGATTAGAGAGGAGGCTCCCAGCAGATTACAGGGAATCCAAAGTCCCCCTGTCCAAAGATGCGACTCTTCACACCCTGTCTCCTTGCAGAGCCCCCCCCTCCTAAAGATCAGCCAGCTGAGCAACAGAAAAACTGCTTTTATAGACAGGTTTCAGAGTAACAGCCGTGTTAGTCTGTATTCGCAAAAAGAAAAGGAGGACTTGTGGCACCTTAGAGACTAACCAATTTATTTGAGCATGAGCTTTCGTGAGCTACAGCTCACTTCATCGGATGCATACCGTGGAAACTGCAGCAGACTTTATATACACACAGAGAATATGAAACAATACCTCCTCCCACCCCACTGTCCTGCTGGTAATAGCTTATCTAAAGTGATCATCAGGTTGGGCCATTTCCAGCACAAATCCAGGTTTTCTCACCCTCCACCCCCCCACACAAATTCACTCTCCTGCTGGTGCTAGCCCATCCAAAGTGACAACTCTTTACACAATGTGCATGATAATCAAGTTGGGCCATTTCCTGCACAAATCCAGGTTCTCTCACCCCCTCACCCCCCTCCCAAAAACCACACACACAAACTCACTCTCCTGCTGAACAAGGATCTTCCGAACACTCACGGGTTTGGGGAAGATCCCCCAACTGCAGACTCCAGTGGGTCCAGAGGGAGGGATGCCCCCATGCTGTGCTGAACCCTTGCTATAAACTCTCTCCCCATTCACCCACAAACATTCTGAAGTCCTGTCCTGTGGGCTTCTTGACATCCACAGAAAGGTGGGGCTGGGTGAGAACAATGGGTGTGGGGTACAGAGTAACACAGGGCCATTCACTATCCTACACCCCAGGTTCAATGCAGGAAACCTGAGGAGTGAAGAAAGCTGCCCACAGCAGATACTGGTCGCAACAGAGAATTTGACCTTACATATCAGCTGGAGAAGTCCAAGACGCTACGTTTGATTTCTCACCTTTTTTCTTATTTGCTACTTAGAGGCATTTTTTGAAAATTAAAATCATCAGAAGGCTTTTGGAATTCTAACGACTACTTACACTTTCAGGCTGCCATAAGTAATGAACAGCTTCCCTCGCTAACTTCAGTTCTGGCAGAGAAAAATCAACACAGCCTCAGACCTCATGTATCAGTTTTAAGGCCAATATTTTCCCTTTTTGTGATATGTAGGAAAAGTGGCAAAATCAGGCTTTAAACGGAAACTCAGCTTCAATCTTAACTATTTCCATAATTAAAGACTGGTTCCATCTTTAATCTTTTGGAGTCAGTGTTTGGAACACAGGAAATGCCAGACTGGCTCAGACCTGAGGTCCATCTGGTCAGTATTCTGTCTTCAAAGGTGGAAAGTGCCAGATGCTTCAGAGGAAGGTGTAAGATAATCTGTCTCCCACATTCTCATCCTGCTCTCTAACAGTTAGCGGCTGGCTGAAGCAATGAAGCATGAGGTTTAACATCACTCTGGGTATTCTTGTTATCCATATAAATATCTGGTCACTTTTTGAGCTTTGCTAAATGCTTGGTCTCAACAACATCCGGTGGCAATCAGTTCCACAGTCTAATTATGTGGTGTGTGAAAAAACATCATTGGATCCGTTTTGAATTAGTCACCTTCTAATTTTATTGAATGTTCCATTGTTCTTGCATTATGAGACAGGGAGAACAGAATTCGGAGTTTGCCATTTTTGGAGGAGCCTTCTCTAACTAGAATTCAAATGAAGAATTTTTTTCATTTAGGACTTGATCCTATGCCCATTGTACCCCAGAAGTATATTTCAATTGACTTTAATGGGCATTTTCTCAAGCCCTTAAAGAAAAATAATGTATATTTTAGCAATACTGTATGTTCTGACCTTTCACTCTGTGACGCTCTGTACGTCGGGAAACACCCTCCACGCCCATGTTCATCCTTATAATATGATTGTGTGGTATCCAGTGCAAAGTTTGTCATGTCGGGTGTCTTCAGAAGGCTCATGATGTGCTGAGCATTGTTGTTATAGTGATGTTATAGGTTGTAATTTCATGTATATAGTTATGAGGCTGAAAATGTGTCCTCATGGCTTAAAACAAGCCTAGGCAAAACTCTCCAGGAGCAGAGGGGCAGTTCACACCTCTTCAGGGCATGTATGGGACAAACCCAGACCAGCCTCACAGGAACAAAGGACACTGGCCTAGGCAGCAACAAAGGATCCGTTGGACTCTCAAGTGAGTCACCCCCCTTCCTTTGGTCAATTTGGGACTACGATGATGTAATGTTCACTTGACTCTGAAGGGGCGGGGGGCAAAGCCAGGAGGGAATAAAGAACATGGTAAAAGGGAGAGACGTTTGCCATGCTGTCTCTCTTCCACCTACATCTACAGACATCACCACCAAGAGACTGAAGTGATGATGAAAGGGGAGAGCCTGGCTGAGGGGCAACCAGCCAGCCTGTGGTGAGAAGCATCTAAGTTTTTAAGGGCACTGAAAGTGTTAAGATCAGCTTAGAATGCATTTTGCTTTTGTTTCATTTGACCAAATCCGACCTGTTATGCTTTGACTTATAATCACTTAAAATCTATCTTTTGTAGTTAATAAATCTGTTTGTTTATTCTACCTGAAGCAGTGCATTTAGTCTGAAGCGTGTCAGAGACTCCCCTTGGGATAACAAGCCTGGTACATATCAATTTCTTTGTTAAATTGACAAACTCATATAAGCTTGCAGCGTCCAGCGGGCATAACTGGACACTGCAAGACGGAGGTTCCTAGGGTTGTGTCTGGGACCGGAGATGTTGGCTAGTGTCATTCGGTTGCACAATCCAAAGAGCAGCTTACGTGCCATAGAGACTGTGCGTGAACAGCCCAGGAGTGGGGGTTTTCACAGCTGAGCAGGGCAAGGCTGGCTCCCAGAGTCGAGGATTGGAGTGACCTAGCAGATCACTGGTCCAGATAACACCAGGGGAACGTCACACACTCCTACACTCCAAAAGTGAAGGGTTATGGGACTTTCTTGCCCCGTGAAAGGTTCTGGGCTGTTTCTAACACCGTCTCACCTGCAGGAATTCACTCGCTGGCAGCTGGCACTTCTGCTCCATCTCACTGATCAGGGAACTGAAAGAAGATATTTCCTCAGATAGTTTGCCAACATACTCATCCCTCCTCTTTTCAATTTCCTTATTCAGCTCTTCCAACTGGGCCAGCAGGAGTCGCTCTTGTTCGTCCAGAAACTGACGCAGTCGCTGAAATTCAGACACAATCTTCTGCCTCTCAGTTTCCAGCTGTTCCTGAAATGAAGAGATACCAACAGGGAAAGCGCAGGTCAAGGACAGGAACACGGAGTGAGTCATGGGACATTTTATAAAGCCTTATGTGTGCACATGGGAGCATGTCATTGCAACCCCGTAGCATTTAACTCCTGACATTTTATGGAGAACATGCTCTATGCTCAGTAGACAGGTGGTTTTCCAGTGGATTTTGAAGAATCCTAACTGGTGTTTAAAATATGAGTGTGTCTTGGCATTATTAGGACTACTTCTGTTATCAGTGCAACGGCTGTTCCTCTGAAACCTATTCAGTGCCGTCTAGAAAACTAGATCCTTCAGATAACAGAAAGTACAGCAGGTGCGGGATCCAGGACTGGACAGGCAAGGATTACTTCTGGGGAGCAAACAGTAGAACCCAAACTCAGAAACGCTAGACTTGAACTGGGGAACAGATGGTCTCCACAAAATTCACCTAGATGAATAAGGCCATGTTTCTAAAACAGGCTTTAAAATTAGAGCGTCAACAATTGCTCTGATGAGTTTTGAATGCGCAGTTTAGGATACAAACATTTTGTCACATCATAAATCTCCAATTTTAATCCACAGAGGGATTCTGAGCACAAAGTGGGTGGCTGGCAAGACACCTATTTGCATGTTCAAATCTGTGTTTGCAGGGCACTTAGAAACGTGCACATGTGAACGGGACAGAAGCCCACCAATTCATGCTCTTTCTGGAGCACTCTAGCTCCTGATACCCTAGGAGCCAGAAACTTACATCATATTTAGAACCCAAATCTTCTTCATGGCAATGTCTAGCAGCGATATCACTAAGGCCTGTTCCAGAGCTCACCAAAATCAATAGGGGTCTTTCCAATGACTTCAGTAGGATTTGGTTAGGAGTTAAGTGACCATCCTTCTCTGGGGCAGTAGATTTGTCTAGTGGCTGCCCACACTCTTCTGTTGTGGTTATTGTTAGAGGGCTTTCCCTTAACCCCTGCCCCTGGTTCTTTTCACGCAGACAGAAAGCAGAAGACCAAAAGTCTAAAGTGCAGGCAATGCGAGGTTTATTGGGGTTAGTTCCAAGCAAGCATATCCATAGCTGTACACACCAGCAGAGCCTTTACCCCGCGTTCCCCTTCCCAGCCCCAATGCCGCAGAGCCTTCACCCCGTGTCCCCCTTCCCAGCTCTGACACCTCAGAGCCTTTACCCCGTGTCCCCCTTCCCAGCTCTGACACCGCAGAGCCTTGCCTGTGTCCCCCTTCCCCATTCCCCATTCCTCCTTCTTAGCAGGTCCAAATAAACCTGCAGTGCGCGCCCCTAGTCACACCCCTTACAACTTATGGTCATTTTTTGGAGGGTTGTGAGTCTGGGGTCTTCATCCCACCTCTTCTGTATCCCATGGGAGGGATAAGGCCTAAGGTTGTGTACTGGCCAAGGCCAGGCTTTTCTTTGGTTTTTAGTGTTTCTTGTGCCTCCTGCCATTCCCCTTTGCCCCTCCTAACTGGTCGCTTGACCTTGGCTTGAGAGAGGAACCAGGCAGCCTTCCGGTGTGTACTCGTATATTACACACCCACCATACCCTGTAATAGTTTATCTGTTCTTATCTGTTCCCATTAGACTAACAAACCCATCTGGCCAGGCAGAAGCCACACACAGTGTCTTTGTCCTTTGTTCTTCACACACATTAGTAAGGATGTAAGAGTATTAAAAGTCAAACCCAAAATTCTATCTCAGGTTAACAAACAGGTTTATATGCTAACAATTATGGCTGTTGAAAGTAAAGCCAAAAAATGGGAGAGGAATTTGCAAAACATTTTGAAGTTTCAAAGTTGTTTCCATTTTTCAGTGTTCAAAATGGGACAACTTTTAATTTGTGTGAAAAATATGAAATAACTTGAAAAAAATTCACATTTCTGTTTCCCCTTTTTTCTAGAATGTAATAAAATAATGTCCATTTCCACCACCTCTCCAAAAGTTCTCCCATTTTAGAAAAATTGGCAAAAAGAAAAAGGAAACACTAGGAGAAAAAACCTGGAAATTATTCATGTTATTGTACTCAGTGGCAAAAAGGAGCAAAAGGGGAAACAAAGGGATAAAAAACATTTGAAATTTTGAAAAAAATTCAGCTTTTTAAAACCAAAATGAAAACTTCCATTTGAAATGAAAAGAAACATTTTGTTCATTCTGAAATTTCCTGTCAAAAAACTGATTTTTATTTATTTATTTATTTGCAAAAGACAGTTTCCCATGGAAAAAAATTGTTTCCTACTAAATCCCATTTTGCTAAAGGACATTTTTGTAGTTGGTAAATTTCGACCAGCTCTAGTTGAAAGAATAAAGGAGAAACTACCGTTAGCTAAACAAATTACACTCACATTATCAATGGAAATATTTGGATTATTAAAATTCTTTCCTTAATGATCCATTTTCCTGTTTATACTCAATTAAATCAGAACAGTTTTTCTTTACAATGAGAATAAATAAGTAATAAACTTTCATGGAAGGGAAAATGTTTCTCACTATACTTCTTCTGTTAGACTAAGCAGAGCATCAACAATGTCCCTGTGCACATTTGTCTCTGAGTAAGAACGGCACCTACCAGTAGTTCCTGGCTTGTATTTTCCCCACTTGATTTATCTGACAGAATCTCGTCTCTCTCTTTTTTTCAAACTCTCCAAACGGCTCTGAATTTTTTCCTAACAAAAGAAAAACTGGATTAGTTTTGGTTGCTTTTGGAGGATTTTCCCCCATTTTATTTATATTTTCAAGAACATCAAATACATAATAAAATGGGTGCGTGTACTCCTCCCTGATCCTCCCCCCCTCCCCCCCGGATAACAGGACCTTGGATCTTCATTTTGAAAATATGGTCACCCTACCCCGGCCTCTGCAGATTTCAAGAAATCTGCTGGAATGGGCCAGCCCCACAACCATTGTCCATTCTGTTTGGGGTGGGGGTAGCTCAGTGGTTTGAACATTGGCCTGCTAAACCCACGGTTGTGAGTTCAATCCTTGAGGGGGGCATTTAGGGATCCAGGGCAAAAATTAGGGATTGGACCTGCTTTGAGCAGGGGGTTGGACTAGATGACCTCCTGAGGTCCCTTCCAACCCTGATATTCTATGATCCTATGAGAAGCAAACCCTGCTCCCCCCACCCTGCAAGGGTTAAAAGGAACCTGTGTGAGCTGGAACTTGTAGAGTTTCCTGCCCCCACGTGGATTTCTCCCTGCACAGGGGATGCCCTTGCTCTCGGGCACGCAAATCATACCCTGCTTTACATATCCTGGTGCTATTAAAGCCATACAGCCCTGCGAGCGTGGGTGTCGTTACACCTGTATAAAAGTGTATAGCCTATTCCTGCATGGAAATGGAAACAAGCATTCCTGGCATCAGGCACCTTTACACCAGTCCAACTTGTATTCACACCCGGGGGCTTTTGCTGATATAACTATTTTGTTTAAAAAAAAAAAAAATCCCACCCGTCACCAGCACAGACCAGTACAAAACCTGTATGCAGAGGAGGCCTGAAAAACACATCTCCACAACGTTCTTCTTGTATAAAATCCCTTCTGCTTTTCTACCTTGTGATTGTAGGAAGCTAGTTTTATTACCTTGCTGGTTTTATATTTCTCAGATGGCTCTGTTCTGATTGCTCGAGGCTGCCTGGGCTGGGATGCCTTCCCAAGGCAAAAATTACCTGGTAATCCAGAGCAGCCTCCTCGAGAGGAAGCACGGGGTGGTCTTTGTGATGGCGGGACTCTCTGCACACCACACAGATGAGGGTTTGATCCACTTCACAGAAGAGTTTCAAAAGCTCCTCGTGTTTTTCACACGCTTCCTTCCCTCAGAGGTCCGGGATGGTTTGGGCTATTTCAACTATGGCCCTCAGCTGCCGGTTAGGCTGGAGTTCCCCTTCCTGGAAGGGGTCCCTGCACTGGGGGCAGGGATAGTGGGGCGAGGTTTTGGACCCCTTGCAGTACTGAGTGATGCAGGCTCGGAAGAAATTGTGTCCACACTTGAGAATCACCGGATCGTTAAAATAAGCCAGGCAAATGGAACAGAGAACAGCCTCTTGGAGCTCTTTGACCCGGCTTGTGGAGGCCATGGCACCTGGAAGAGAGAGGAACGTACTGTAACGTTCACTTGCCCAGCAATGTGTCTATCCCCGGCTGGAGCTGGCCTCCGCCCTTCCTGCAGCCGCCTGCCCTCTGCCTCCTTGCTGGTCTGCTGTGACTGTGTTCGCTGGGGCCTGGGATCCTTCAGGTCTGGAAAGGAGAAAATATAAGGAGATAGGAGAGAGGTATATAAGATAATGATTATATTGAACTCCTACATCTGTACAGATTAGACTTTAAACAAATATTTTCCCATGCAGTCGTAAACAGAGTTAAAAGACCTAGTCGCAATATTATAACAAAAAGACTTCAGAAACAGACTCCAACAAGAGACTGCTGAATTGGAATTAATTTGCAAACTGGATACAATTAACTTAGGCTTGAATAGAGACTGGGAGTGGATGGGTCATTACACGAAGTAAAACTATTTCCCCATGTTTATTCCCCCCCACTGTTCCTCAGACGTTCTTGGCAGCTGCTGGAAATGGCCCACCTTGATTATCACGACAAAAGGTTTTCTTCCCCCGCTCTCCTGCTGGTAATAGCTCATCTTAAGTGATCACTCTGGTTACAGTGCGTATGGTAACACCCATTGTTTCATGTTCTCTGTGTATATAAATCTCCCCACTGTATTTTCCACTGAATGCATCCGATGAAGTGAGCTGTAGCTCACAAAAGCTTATGCTCAGATAAATTGGTTAGTCTCTAAGGTGCCACAAGTCCTCCTTTTCTTTTTGCGAATACCGACTAACACAGCTGCTACTCTGAAACCAAACAGAGTTAAGTAAGTCAAGTCACTGAAGAGATACAAGTACCAGGGGGTAGCCGTGTTAGTCGATATCCACAAAAACAACAAAGAGTCTGGTGGCACCTTAAAGTCTAACAGATTTATTTGGGCATAAGCTTTCTAAAGAAATGTGGGGTTTTTTACCCACAAAAGCTTATGCCCAAATAAATCTGTTAGTCTTTAAGGTGCCACTGGACTCTTTATTGAAGAGATCCAAGCATTTTCTAAATAAAAGAGCCGATCATAAAATCCCTCATGCTGGGCCCACAAAAACATTATAGGGGCCAATAGTATTGGCAGAATTATGCCCAATATATGCCATTATATTTTCCTTCAACCATCATAGTTAGAAATTCCAAAACAAGGATCTGATGTGAACTAGAAATAGATCCGAGTTGCCGTCTTCGTTTGATTGGGACTGGAACTTTGCCAAAGTTCTGGTGTTCTCGAGCTAATCGGATCCATTTCTGATCCAAATGACAGATGTAATTTGATTATTACTGTGTGTTGCAACATTTAAAAACTTCCTACGAGTTATCTAAACAATTAAATTAAAAATCCAGAACTACAGAGTGCCATGTTAAATCAGCTTTTTAGTGTATTTGAAACATTCAGCTACATTCAGTATTACCAACGCCATGCATTCAAAGATCATGAATAAGCCCTAAAAAAAAGAAAAGAAAAGAAAAGAAAAGAAAAGAAAAGAAAAGAAAAGAAAGATTTAAAAAAAAATATATATTTTTTTTATTTGCCTTCTGGTTGCTGAGCCGTTAGATCACATTTGTGTCGTGTTTTCAGTAGAGCTGGTTGAAACAGAATTTCTGTTCCATGGGAAGTTCTGACATTTCAAAATTTATTTGGATTCTGAATCAGAATTTAAAACATTAAAATTTTCCATTAAATGAAAATGTTGAAAAAAAAAATCATTTGGGGTCAATTTCCTTCCTTTGAAGTTTTTAAGGCCCGGCTTGACAAAGCCCTGGCTGGGATGATTTAGTTGGGAATTATTTGGTCCTGCTTTGAGCAGGGGTTGGGACTAGATGACTTCCTGAGGTCCCTTCCAACCCTGATATTCTATGATTCTATGAATCAACACATTTCATTTTGATGAAATGAAAATGTTTCATTCTGCTTCTGACTTAAAAAAGAAGATAAAATTTCAAAATGAAAAGATGTTTTGACACCAAAACGTGAAGCAATCCATTCTGGAAGGTCAAAAGGAACATTTCAACCTTTTTGACCTGAAACCCAAAAAAGAGTCGTACAAAAAGTGGAAAGTAGGTCAAATTATGAAGGATGAATATAAAAAAACAACACAAGCATGTAGGGATAAAATTAGGAAGGCCAAGGCCCAAAACAAGATTAAACTAGCTCGGGACATGAAGGGGAACAAGAAGACATTTTACAAATACATTAAAAGCAAGAGGAAGACCAAGGACAGAGCAGGCCCATTACACAAGGATGCAGGAAAGACAATAACAGGCAATGCAGCAATGACTGACATGTTCAATGCCTTTTTTGTTTCCATTTTCACAAAAGAGGTTAGCTGTGATCAGACGACTAACATAGAGCCTGGCTACACTTGCAGATGCAGAGGGCTTTGGGTTAAACCCACCCTCGGAGAGCACAGTGAAAGCACTGCCGTGTGTTCACTTAGGCCTGGTCTACACTAGACTTTACTGTCATAGAGCTATGTCGCTCTGGACACCCCGGAGAGATGTAGCCATACTGACCTAACCCCCAGTGTAGACAGCGCTAGGTCGACAGAGGAATTCTTCCATTGACCTACCTGCCGCCTCACAGGGAGGTGGATTACCTCCTATGCCAACGGGACAATTCCTCCCGTCACCCTGGGGAGTGTCTACACTGAAGTACCGGTCTGCTGCTGTAGCATTGTAAGTGTAGACAAGCCCTTAAACAAGTTAGCTGTCTTCAGATTGGCAGGGCCTGAGGAAATACATCCTCGAATACTTAAGGAACTGGCTGAAGAGTTCTCTGAGCCATTAGCAATGATCTTTGAGAACTCATGGAGGACAGGGGAGTTCCCAGAGGACTGGAAAAGGGCAAATATAGTCCTTATCTATAAAAAGGGGAATAAGGACAACCCAAGGAATTATAGGCCAGCCAGTTTAACTTCAGTACCCAGAAAGATAACGGAGCAAATAATCAAACAATCGGTTGGTAAACACCTAGAAGATAATAAGGTGATAAGCAACAGTCAACATGGATTTGTCAAGAACAAATAATGTCAAATTAGCCAAATATCCTTTTTTGACAGGGTAACAAGTCTTGTGGATGGAGGGAAGCAGCAGATAGGCATATCTCAACTTTAGTAAGGTTTTTGATACTGTCTCACATGACCTTCTCATAAGCAAGCTAGGTAAATATAACTTAGACAAACTTACTATAAGGTGGGTTTACGACTGCCTGGGAAACCGAACTCTGAGAATAATTACCAATAGTTCACAGTCAAGCTGGAAGGGCATATTGAGTGGGGTCCTGCAGGGAGGGATCTGTCCTGAGTCCTGGGTCTGCTCAATATCTTCATAATAGATTTGGATAATGGTACAGAGTGCACTTACAAAGTTTGCAGACAATGCCAAGCTGTAGGTACCTCTGGAGTCCCACAACGCAGCGACCCAGCGATGGCGGGAAGAAATGCTATGGAGAGCTGGGTGTGGATGTGGCAAGCGCTGGTTTTCAATCAGCTGCTCTGTGGAGTGGCCCTGCTACACCATGGCAGGGATCCACAGCGTCAGGTGCAGCCACTCCACAGTCTGTCATGGAGCTTCCTCCAGGTGCTAACTCCGACCAAAGGGAGTTTCCAGCCTCCCAAGAGTAACATGAGGCAACATATACGTAGGAAACGCCTGTTTGGTGTGCAAGGTTCAGAATCGGCCCATTTCTGAGAACAATAAAAAGAAACTAAATTCCTCTCTTCTCTGCAGAAGCAGCCAGGGCTGCCGCGAATCCCCCACAACTGCTCCTAGCTGAACTGACTTGTTCGGTGTGCCTAGATTATTTTAAAGGTCCAGTGTCTCTAGATTGTGGGCACCATTTCTGGCAGGCCTGCATCGCTCAGTGCTGGGAGGCGTTGAGTACGAACTCCCACTGTCCTGAGTGCAGAGAAACCTTCTCCCAGAGAAACTTCAAACCAAACAGACAGCTGAGGAATATTGTAGAAGCGTCCAGAATGCTTACGCTGGAGTCAGCAAAAGAACCAGAAGTTGAGACAGTGCGCGAAAAACACCAGAGGGCTTTAGATGTCTTCTGTCAAGAGGATCAAATGCCCATTTGTTTGGCTTGCCATCTGTCCAGAGATCACAGAGAACACACTGCAGTTCCCATAGAGGAAGCTGCTGAGGATTAAAAGGTAAGAAATCACGGGACGGTGTAAAAGCTGCAATGGTTGCATGCCGATGAAGTGAGCTGTAGCTCACGAAAGCTTATGCTCAAATAAATTTGTTAGTCTGTTAAGGCCACATCTACACGTCTAGTGTAGACGCGATAAATCAATCCCCGCTCGCTCTGCCGTCGACTCCAGAACTCCACCACGGTGAGAGGCGGAAGCGGAGTTGACGGGGGGGGGGTGGCGGCCGTCGATCCCACGCCGCGAGGATGCAAAGTAAGTGATTCTAAGTCGATCTAAGATACGCTATTCTCGTTGCTGAAGTTGTGTATCTTAGATCGATATCCCCCCCCCCCAGTATAGACAAGGCCTAAGGTGCCACAAGTTCTCCTTTTCTTTTTGCAGACTTTTTAACCAGAGCCAGGCAGCAGGAGGCAAACAACTCACTTCCATCCTCTGGGCCACTTTGGAACAGAGTGTTCTATTAATAATTAATCCCTTCATTGCACAGAGCAGGCAGTTAAAGGCTGGTTTGGCCGGTGTTTTCCGTAGTACCATGCTGCTCTCCCTTGTATTATATGCATCATTTTTGTCCCCGTGCCACTTTGGAACCAGGTGTTCTGGATGGTTTTAGTAATAAAGCTAATTATCACCCGACAACCTGGGTTAAAGGTCGGTTTGGACAAGTTTCTCATTAGCATTATAGTCTCACCTGAATGTACTGTCTGTATAATAAAGCTGTTGGTTGAAGAGGTGGGTTTGTCAGCGGTTTTCTGTCATATGGCATTATTCTCAGTTGTATCATGCGTGTCGTTTTTGTCCCCTGGGCTGCCTCGGAACTGAGTGTTCTGGGCGGATTTACTGATACAGCCATTTACTGCCTGGAACAATCACTTGCAGGTGGGTTTGGAGGAAGTTGTCTGTATTACTGCATTATTCTCAGTGAGTTGTATTATGTGTATCACTTTGGTCCCCCCAGCACTTTTGGAACCATGTGTTTCAGGTCCTTTTTTGTGTTCAGATAAAAGGTTCTGAGTTAGAAAGGGTTAATAACCGTGTGTAATGAGTCAGTGCTCATTAATAAAACATTGTTCTGAAGTGTCTGTAGCAGTATCCACTGGTTTTTCAAGAGTTTTATTTATCGAGATGTGTTTCTGGCATATTTTTGTTCCCTGTGTCTCTTTGGAACCCAGTGTTCTGGGCAGTTTTATTGATAAGGCTAGTTGGAGCTTGGAACGGGCACCTAAGGGTGTCTTCCGCAAAGGTTTTCTGTCGTGTTGTTCCCAGTTAGTTGTATTACGTGTACCAATTAGTTGTATTACGCAGGCCGTGACTGTTTTAGTAAGGCATGCAACAACTCATTTGCACGCCGTAGGCAGTCCAAAATGGTGTCCTCCATGCGGTGTACACATGATCTCGCATGCACTGTGTGCGAGGTCCTGCTGTGTGAAGGACACCATTTTGTCCTATATCGGGGCCAGACAGAATCGTCCCATGTGTTGGATCCAGCCTGCAGGCCACCAGTTAGACAATGCACAGCCGGTCAGGCACGCAATGCAGACTTGCATTTACAGATGGCACCCCCTGTATGTGAATCATTTTGGTCCCTTGTGCCACCACAGAAAATAAAGCTATTTTTTGCCTGTAACTGGCCCTTGAAGGTGGGTTCAGAAAAGGTTTTCTGTGGGATAGCATTATTCTCAGTTAGTTGTATTATGCGTATCATTTTGGTCCCATGAGCCACTTCAGAATTGTGTGTTGTGGGTCCTTTTTGGAGTTAAAAAAGAGGTTCTGGGCAAGCTCAGGTTAATACCAATGTTTTATTAGTCTGGTCTCATTACTAAAATGTTATTCTTAAGTATCTGCCACAGTATTAACAGGAGTGTCGTATGTAAGACACAAGAGGACGTTGTTCCACCCTTCTTGCCACGGTGAGGCCTCAGCTGGAATATCATGTCCAGTTTTGGGCACCGCACTTTCAGAAGGATGTGGAAAAATTGGAGAGAGTTCAGAGGAGAGCAACAGAAATGATCAGAGGTTTAGAGTGGATGAGCTGTGAGGAAAGGTTGCAATAAATGGGTGTGTTTAGTCTCGAGAAGAGAAGACTCAGGGAGGGCCTGATAACAGTCTTCAGATATGTCTGAGGCAGTTCTACAAAGAGCGGTGATCAGCTGTTCTTCAAGTCCAGTGCGGGTAGAACAAGAAGTAATCGCTTTCATTTGCAACAAGGGAGATTTACATGAGTGGGACGGCGTTCCCGGGGTGCAGCCTGGACGGTGGGACTGCTGAGCCCTCCTAATCCCCAGCCTGGGCTGCCTCTCGCCCTGTGATGCTGATGTCCAGCTACAAGCCTGGCCGGCCCTGCGCTGAGACAGACGCCCACGGGCAGCGACACGCCCAGCTGTGTTACACAACTCCGCTCCCGGCCATTGATGAACCAGCAATAGAAGGCGCCAGCCAGTTCCCCCCAGCTCCAGCCCTGCCCCCCAGAACTGCACCGACTCACCCTGCTCAAGGCTCCCTGGGCAGTGCAAGTTCATTAAGTCGTTTGCCGCTCCCTCCCTGTGGTCAGCCACCCAGTGCGGCTGCTCCCCAGCCAGCCTGGGAAGTGGGAGAGGGGACCCCACGGTAGCCCCCAGGCGTAGGGAAGATGAAGAACCCTAGGAGGAGCAGAGGTGAGGCGGGGAGGGCTTTATTATGGCCTGGGGGCTGCAGGGGACCTGAAGTGAGTGGGGGGCTGATGGGCTGGGGGGCTGTATTGATGGTGGGTTCTGAGCAGATAGGGTGAGTGCTGGGAGGGCAGTGGGGTAGGGGTGCTGAACTGATGGGGCAGTGATGATGGGGGCTGAGGGACTGAATTGGGGGGGTTGGATGGGGACAGAACGGATGGGGGGCTGGGGTACAGGATTAATTGCTGGGCAGGAGATGGACAGATGCGGGGGTGAGAACTCCTGCAGCAGGACCCAGAATCACCTTCTCCCGTCATAGAATCATAGAATCATAGAATATAAGGGTTGGAAGGGACCCCAGAAGGTCATCTAGTCCAACCCCCTGCTCGAAGCAGGACCAATTCCCAGTTAAATCATCCCCCGTCCATGGGGGAGAGTGGGCAACACTAATTGTCACTTGCTCACACCCTGGGGAGGGGCCAGGGGAGTTCAAACATCAAGAGACTGACCTGGAAACCACAACAGAATCCTTTTCAAACGTGTCATGATTTTTGGGCCAGTCTCATGAGATTTGATCTCTTGAAGTTGGCAATCCTGTATTAGCCATTGCATAGCCTTGGGGCCAGCGGTGTGGAGTTTGGAAAGTCCCCGATAGACCAGCACAAGACGAGCAGCCACTCAGTAAGTGTGCGGTGTCCTCACCCACACCGCAGCTACAGAGTCATGGGGGGCCAGTGGGGTCTCTATAAAAGCAGTTTTTCTGTTGCTCAGCTGGCTGATCTTTAGGAGGGGGGGGCTCTGCAAGGAGACGGGGTGTGAAGAGTCGCATCTTTGGACAGGGGGACTTTGGATTCCCTGTAATCTGCTGGGAGCCTCCTATGATGCCAGGGTCCCTAATCACATCTGTGGGGAGAGGTGGGTGCAGGTGGGGAAAGATTCCATGGGCCTGATTGTCAGGCCCTTTTATGCTGCTCTGTCAGAGCAAAGGGGCCTTAATGTGCATGGAAACAGTCCCCAGAATATAGCTCCGGTGCAAGGGAGGTCCCCCACCCCGTCCGTGTGAAGTTGGCAGAGGGCCTCTACAGACTCTGCCCCAGGGCTGAGCTCTGCCCCTCATGCTCTGATTCTCTCTCTGCAGCCAACGTGACTCTGGATCCAGACACGGCCCATCCCGACCTCACCGTGTCTGCGGATCGGAGACGTGTGAGATGGGGAGACACACGGCAGGATCTGCCTGACAACCCTGAGAGATTTGACACTAAGTCCTGTGTGCTGGGCTGTGAGGGATTCATCTCGGGCCGACATTACTGGGAGGTGGAGGTGGGGGTGGAGGCGATGGGAGTCTGTGCTGTGGGGGGGTGGAAGGGACGGATCCGCCCTAACCCCGAGGAGGGGATCTGGGCTGTGCTGTGCAGTGAGGATCAGTCCCGGGCTCTCACGTCCCCTGGGCAGAGCACCCCCTTGTCCCCAAGCCAGGCACCCCGCAGGATCCGGGTTTATCTGGACTATGAAGGGGGGCGGGTGGCGTTTTTCGATGCTGGTCGCGGGGACCCGATCGTCACTTTCCCACCGGCCGCTTTCGCCGGGGAGAGAATCCGCCCGCTCTTCTGGGTTGGTGTTAGCGTGCGGCTCCTCTAGCCCCCACCCCCCCTGATCTCTATGGCCTGGAGGACTCCGCCAGTCCTCCCCCCCGCACAGACGGGGCTGAAGGGGGGGACGCTCTCCCCGTAGGTCTATGGCTGTGGAGGTCTGTGTGAGGCGGCGCTTTAGGCTGGGTCTCTGTGCTCCTTGGAGGCCGACTCTGTGTGGAGTGGGGGGGGGTCCCACCAAGGAAGGAGGGACCCCCTGTGGGAGAGGGGCGCAGTCGAAGGCCAGGGAGAGACCCCTCAACAGGGGCGTGGGGAGAGCAGGGGGGAGGCCGGCTGAAGAGGCTGGGTGGGGGCGGGCGGGGGGAGGACAGACCAGAGGGCAAACCGGGCGTCAGGCGGGGAGAGGTTCCCAGGAGATCAGGAGCAGGTGTTGCCGGGGAAGCAGAGCTGAGCAGGGAGGACCCAGCTGCCCAGACGAGGTTCTGCCCCTTGGCTTGGGGGACAGAGAGGCTGGGGACCAGTCAGGCCCCCCAGGGGTCCACCAATCAGAGCCCAGGACTGGAGTCCTCTGCTACCCTTCAGCTGCTGTTCTAGCAGGCGTGAGCAGGACACGGGGTGGCGGATTCGGACTGACGAGCTCCTAAGCGCCCTGTGGGCCAGCGTGTGAGATCTGCGGTTCCTGACACAGAGGCAAGGGAGGGATCGGACACTGGTCTGTGGGCCAGATGTTTCAGAGGGATTGAGCCTTTCAATATCCGGTGCCGTGAGCTCTCTCCTCAGAACAAACAGCTCAATACCCTGTGGAATCCCGAAGCTCGACCGAGGAATCGTCCCTTTGCCAGCACGCGTGAAAGAATTGAGAGGTTGAAGTGATTGTTCCCATAGCCAGTGTTTATGGGAAAGCTAATACTGGCAGATTGTGTTATAAAGTTTCACTGCTGGGCTAACCGTTGTCAGTTACGGTACAAATTTCACTTTCTTTATGATTAAACGACTGTTGTACGAGTCAGCGTTTCCTGAGGGCCGCAGGGCAGGTGCTGCTTCTTAGAGCTAGGAGAAAAATATTAGGTTTCAGAGTAACAGCCGTGTTAGTCTGTATTCGCAAAAAGAAGAGGAGGACTTGTGGCACCTTAGAGACTAACCAATTTATTTGAGCATGAGCTTTCGTGAGCTACAGAAAGCTCATGCTCAAATAAATTGGTTAGTCTCTAAGGTGCCACAAGTACTCCTTTTCTTTTTGAGAAAAATATTGTCTCTGCCGAATTAATTTTAAAAATATTTAAATGGAAGGAAATTTTAAAAGTGCTGTTTTGTTGGACAATTTGTGTGGAATTTTTCCTTAGTTGAAAAAAATTAAACCAAACTTAACAAAACGTTTCAGTTCAATGGTTGTTATATTCCTCCCCCCCACCCACACTTTTCGCTCTGCCTTTTCTCTCCCTTCCACTGGGAAATGGGTAGGGGGGAGAGGAGAGAAGGAAAAGTGAGCAGACTTCCCCACAATGCCAAGGTTGTTTCACTTTTTCAGAAGCCAAGACTCACAAAAGCATGTTTTGATTCAAAAACTTAAACCATTTGTCCTTTAGTTTAATCAAAAAACTGAAAAATCAAAGGGATGAAAAATTTCCCTCCACAATCTTCGTTTCCCTGGAGAAGCCAGTTTCCCATGAAAGAATTCTAACCAGTACTACTGCCCCTGAAGGCTGAAGTGTGGGATACGTATTCTGCTTCAGGTCTTTACCAGAACGGTTAATTGTGACCAGATGCTTAATATTAACACGGGGAAAGGATCTCAAACAAAAACAGCGAATGAACAGATTATAGAATATTTAGATAAGTCAAATACATCTACGTTTGTGGGTCCTGAAGAATTTTCACCCTAGGAACCAGCTGAAGCCATCTTGGAACCCTTAAGAAGTATCCTCAAGAATGTATGGAGGATTGGTTAGGTCCCAGAGGACTGGAGAAAGGCACTATGTTTACCTATCTGAAAAAAGGAAGATCAAGGGAATTAGAGAGCAGCCAGCCTAATTTCAATTCGCAGAAAGATACTGGAACAAATTATTACATGCTCAGTTTGTTCAAACCTAGAAGATAATAGGGTTATAAGAAACAGCCAGCGTGGGTTTGTCATGAACAGATCATGCCAAACAATCTGATTTACTTCTTTGACAGCATAACCAGCCCAGTGGATGGCAGAAAGCAGCAGGTGTGTTATATCTAGACTTTATTAAAGCTTTTGACACAGTTCCACATGACAGTCTCATAAGCAAAGGAAATATGGTTGACGTGACATTACCATAAGGTGGGTGAACAACTGTGTGAAAAACTGTTCTCAAAGAGAAGTTATCAATGGTTTGCTGTCAAATGGGAGGACATATTGAGTGGGGTCCCATAGGGCTCTGTCCTAGGTCTGGTACTATTCCATATTTTCATTAATGACTTGGATAATGGAGAGGGACCTTGGAGAGGAGAAGATGATTATAAAATGAGAAGATGACACCAAGATGGATAGGTGGCAAGCACTTGGGAGGACAAGATTAGAATTCAAAACAACGTTTACAAATTGGAGAATTGGTCTGAAATCAACAAGATGAAATTCAATGAAGACAAGTGCAAAACGTTATATTTAGGAGGGAAAAATCAAATGCACAAACACAAAATGAGGAATCACTAGCTAGGCAGCAGAACTGCAAAAAAGGATCCGGGGCTTATGGAGGATCACAAATGACATATGAGTCAACACTGTGATGCTGTTGCGAAAAAGGCAAATTCCGTTCTTGGATGTACTAACGGGAGTGTTGGGTGTAGGATGCAGGAGATGATTTTTCCACCCTATATGGCACTAGGGAGGCCTCGTCTGGAGTACTGTATCCAATTCTGGGCACCACACTTTAAGAAAGATGTGAACAAATTGGAGAGAGTCCAGACAAGAGCAGCACAAATGGTGGGAGGCTGAGCACACAAGACCTGTGAGGAAAGGTTGAAAAACTGGGCATATTTAGTCTAGAGAAGAAAAGGCTGAGTGGGGACATGATGGTCTGCAAATATGCTTAAGGCTGCTGCAGAGAGGACAGTGATCAATTGTTACCCACATCCAGCCAGGGTAGGACAAGAAGTGATGGGCTCAGTGTGCAGCAAGCGAGATTGGGGTTAGACCTTAGGAGAAACTTTCTAACTCTAAGGCTAGTTAAGCATCAAAGTGGTTACCTAGGGAGGTTGTGGAATCCCAATTATTGGAGGTTTTTAAGATCAGGTTGGACCAACACCTCTCAGGGATGTTCGAGGTTTACTTGGTCCTCTCTCAGTGCAGGGGGAAAGACTAGAGGACCTCTCGAGATCCCTTCCAGCCCGACATCACTTTGATCCTCCAGTCACACCTTAAGCAAGACTAATTTAGGCTTATCTTGATTTAAATTAAATGGATCCCTTACCAAATTAAGTTATAATGATATAAAACACTTGGACCAAGTCCCAAAATCGATGTAAGCCATGTGTAAACCAATGTAATGTCTACACTATCGCTGTAAGTCGACCTACGCTATGCAATTCCAGCTACATGAATAACCTAGCTGGAGTCAATGTATTTTAGGTCGAGTTACTGCGGGGTCTACACCATGGGGGGTCGATGGGAGAAAATCTCCCATCGACTTACCTTACTCTTCTTATCCAGGGTAGAGAACAGGGGTCGACTGCAGAGCGATCTACAGTCGATTTGGCGGGTCTTTACTAGATTTGGCGGGTCTTTACTAGACTCGCTAAATTGACCGCCAGCTGGTCGATCTCAGAGCGTGGATCTGGGCTCTAGTGTTGACCTGCCGTTAGTGTCTACAAATGGGTTTACACTTCTGTGAGCGGGGTCTGACTGAATGCTGCCCTGACAGCTAGCTGGGAGGAGAAGAGAAGAGTGTGTGTTTATGTAAATACAGTTTGCTCCTGCTCTGATTACATATTCAGCAGATACAGCGGTGTTAAAGTGATCAACTTTGGCTGGTGTTGGGTACAAATCACCTTAGTACTGAATGCAGGGTAGTGAAATATGGTTACCAAGGTTGTAATTATTGCAGGAATACAGGAAAGCAGGACTGTGCTTAACCTGTCCCAAATGAGAGGCCACCCGCAGTTGAAAGAACATCGTTAAGCCAGGGGCTCGAATGTCAGAGCCCTGTGAAAGGAAAAGGGATGGGGACAAGTATCCTCAGTCAGGAGGCTGCAGACCCTCATCAAGGGTCCTTCCTAGATGGGTTAACCTGTGACCTAGTTTGGTTTCCGTGGCGCCTGGAATACACTGAGCCAGTAGATTACGTGGCCCCTTCTCTGTCATCCCACAACTCTTCCTCACACCGCCTCGTTCGGGGCTGCCAATAGGCAGACCATGGGCCAAATCCGGACCACCAGACACTTTTGAACGGACCATGAAATCTGTTTATTTACTTATGAGTATCATTCTTGTTATGGCGGCATGGAAAACGTTTCTGTGGAGTCTGGACCTTGACTGTACCTGAAAATTTGGACCTTGACAACAATAACTGACTACCCCGGCCTAGTTCTTCTGCACCCCTCTCCCAGCACCCCGGGCCCATCTGAGTCTGTTTCTCCCCCGTTCCTTAGAGAATCCCGGCCATGGATCCCAGTTTCCCCTCCTCCCAGCTCTTCAGGGACGCTCAGGGTGGGGTGGGCAGGCCGCTGTGCATTGCAAGAAGCAGGTGATGGGGCCAGCTGCGGGAGCACAGCCGCCCAGGCTGGCCACAAGCTGGAAGAGCAGCATTACTATAAAACCCCGTTCTGCACGGGGATCTCCGTCTGGAGGGTGAGCTGGGCAGGGAGCGGCCCCTGGGGGCTCTCCACAGCAGCAGAGATGTCTGGGTGTTGGGGAGGGGTGGGAGGGTTTAGCGTGGCTGTGAATGGCATTTATCAGCTTTAATTCTAAGTTAACGAGCTGTGCGGGCAGCATGATGGTTGGTGCAAGGGATACATGACAGGCCGATAATTAACAACAGCTAATCCCAGCTGAGTGGCAGGGGCTGGAGCCGGCGTCTGAAATGGGACACATCAGCGTGGGAAATCCAGGACTGCTGGGCCGGGCTCCCATGGGGTGTGTCTCTTCTTCCAGTCACTTGTTTATCTCTTTCCCCTCCACCTGGAATCAAAGTCCACCGGGTAAGTGTATCAGGGCAGGCAAAAGGCCCTTAGTCCTCCACTGCGTGTCTCACCACGCCCAGCCCAGCTGCGGGCATAGGCTCAGCTCAAAGTCTGTGCTGAGCAGGAAAAGGCTCCGGCACCATTTAGA